CACGGACCAGTCATCTTTCAGGCTATTTTCAGGTCATCTTCGGAAATCATTGGGCTTCCAAATATGTATAATCTTATTCTAAATTTTCCCATCTTCATTTTGATATATTATGGGTCGAATTTGGTTAAGAAACGATTGAGTTACGTAGCTTTGAAAATTGCCAAAACTTCTGGCCAAGAGCTTCGGAATACTTAACGGAGTTTTTAACGGAATGACCAAAATAATGGATGGTGGACAATCTCAGGGACCATTTCTATTGATTTTCAATCTCAGAGACCAAGGTGATGTGTTATGCAAATCTTATGAACCATTTTGGCTAAAAAGCCAAATTAGAATTCATATTGAATTTGAAACTAACAAGGGATATGTTTTCCATTTCAAATGAGGAAATTAATATTTCTGACCTAGGTTTTTTTTCCCTACAATACTATATACCATTATGAATGTCTTAATTTACGAAGAGAAAGATTCGACTCACACGAATGTAAAGAGGCGGGTATACTGTCTTTGCATCGAAACTTTCATTGTCTGTGGAAGAGGGCACTTATATATTACGAAGGATATAATACTTTGTGTTCCTCCCTTGGGAGGATGAACTCATTCCACCACTTGCAAAAAAACGTTTTTTTACGATAGAAAATTCATAATCGAAACTGTTCAATTTCTTAATCCTAATTTGAAGATCATCCCCACGAAATAAACATTAGAAATGATGTTCATTTAGTAATCCAAATGTATTAAATAAATAGACAGTACATCGTACATATGTTACTTTGTACCTACATTGTTGACTTATCTAACACATTAAACTAAAGTGACTAAACGAACAATTATTCGAATGATTTTCTGTGTGGACGAACTTCAAAGAAAGATTAAGAAACCGAATGACTTCAATTATAAAATTTCTACAATAAAAGTTTGTTATTTACAAGGACTGGAATAAGCTTATTCTACGACTTGAAATTAACGAAGTCGGTATAAAAGGAAATGAAAATCCTCCGGCTGCATTGGAAGCCCAAGTCTCTTATTTAGGTTTAGCTGGAATGACTTGGGGCTTTTTCTCTAAGCCTAAAATTTAAAAAGGCCCCAAGTCTTAAGACAACCAACCAAATACCACAAGCCTTTGACAGTTCTCAATAACCATGGTTAAAAAAAAAAAAAATCCAATAACTTTTTTTTCGGTAAAAATAATAAACAGTGCTATTCACACATTTATTTTTATTTTCTATACATTCTTATTAATTATTTATCATTAATTTTCTCATATTATTCAATCCAATGATTAAAAATTTTTAAAAAAAAAGTGTGTAGAAAAAAATAAGTGTATGGATAACATTATCCAAAATTAAATAACAATAAAATACTTCCCCCTTAGAAAGTCAGGGCCTTAATTGACCACACGCTTTTTATGAAATTGTAAAGCAGACCTGAAATTTGCTTCTATGCATTATTGAAATGTCATTTCCCTACTTTTTGCAAGTGGTTTTTATTTATTTTTTCTATTTTACACAAAAGTACTTTTACTAAAAAATATTTGGATTATACTATAAAATCAATTGGTAATATTGAGAATAGTCTAACTAACTGCAAGTGACCCTCTACCGTAGTGGTGGAAATGAGTGTTGCCCTTTCACTATGACGTGGGTTCGAATCTGGTCGGCTCCGTAATCTAACATTTAATCTAACAAATCGATTGTTTGACAAAAAAAAAAAAAAGTAGTCTAACTTACATATAAACCCTTGCAAGGTGATGTGTGACTCTTTTAACCTTCACATCCTCACACGCAGTGTGACAAATTTTCAAGCTAAGCACGTAGACAACACAAATTGGGTGAAGCAGTGCACATATGACCTTTGAGCAACACACGTGGGTCAACCTACTCTAGTACCATGAAGAATGTTAAGATTTTATCATAAAACCGATTAACAATAAGAAAAGTAGTCCAACTTATTTGCCAAGTTGACATGTAATACTTTTCACCAGTCTTCGAAGATATGATTTGAGAGGAAGTAGGAAAAAAATTAAACCACGGAGGAAGAGCCATGCATGTTAGCATGTCACCAAAAGGAGGGAAAAAGCTTGAAAGAAATGGACCCCATGCTGGTAAAACCCAACGGAAAGAGTCTCAAGTGGGATATGAAGGAAATAATGAGATTTTGCCTCTGTCGAGTTTTCTTTCGACTCAGTCACACTCAGCCCTAATAAGTCATGGAGAAGGTTAAAAGGAATTTAGCTTTTCAATTCCCACTTGTGGACATCATCATTTTGTACAAGAAGTCACCACCACCCCTCTGACCCTCCTCTTAGCATGTAAAAAACTATGCCAACCAACAATTACTACCAAATTTTGCTTCGATCTTAGAATTACTTTTGACTGTTAAATGCAACACTAATTTGGCGAAATTCAATTTCATTATCGTTTTATTTAGGAGTTTTAACGAAACATTTTCGGTACTATTCATTTTTAACGAAAAACCACATTTTTACATTTCTTGGTATTATTCACTTACACTTTTTTTTGTCATTTTTATTAAAATCAAAGTTTTTTTAGAATTTTTGTTAGTTTTTCTTTTTATTTATGTATCCAACTACTTTTCATTTATTTTTAAGATTTTTTCGTTCTTTTATTTGCTTGAATTTCATTTAAAGAAGCGTAAACTCAAGAGTGTGTTGACGTGTTTAGAGTTGGAGTGAAAAAGAGCTAGAGCGATCGAGTAGAAGTTGGAATTGAGAAAGAATCATGATTAGAACGTCCCTCACACTTTCCAATTAATGATTCTTGCTTGTGCAAGATTGCAAATTAACCACGGAGGTGGATTGTCTGCCCTCCCATTTCCATACTCTTTACATCCCCTCTTATTTGTGTGGTCACAGTTAAGCTACGTTAATATTTTATATTCCTATTACTTTTTATTTTATTATTTCTATAAAAAATAAATATAAAATATTAACGTGGCTTAACCGTGACCACACATGACAAGAAGACATAAAAAAAGTATGGAAATGGAAGGGTAGACAATCCCCCTCCATTATCCACAAAATGAATTGCGAGAATTAAGAAGTGCTGCACATTGAGAATTCAAACTTGTAAATTATTTCAATATTAGAAATACAATTAAATTCATCATGACGTAATTGGCGAGAGGAGTAGAAAGAGATTCGAATTTGAGAAATTATTTTAATATTAGAAAGAGAAAATCCTACCCACCTTAACTAGTTCCTTGGTCATATCACCTGATTTGAACTCATCTGGATTCACAGATAATTCAAATTTTTATGCATTGGAGTCAATGTCATCATAGTTTAGTTGGCCATTTTCTCCTAATAGATAATTGCATAACCTAATTTGTTTGAGAAAATACAATTTGGAAAACTAACAACTAAAATTCGACAGAAACTACAGAAACATCATTTTCGTGACACATCAAAAATTGACATATATACGCACAAAGAGCATAGCACTTTGCCCATGAATTATTGCTTATGAGGTCTGGCAAAACCTAAGCCATGATGTGGTGGACAAGGCATACAAAGTTTTTCTCAATACGATGCTGACATATATTAATATATATTCCCGATCTGGTAGGGGAATCTCGATCAATAATATCCAATGTTTGGTTCAGATGAAAAACAATTTGTCTAAAACTATATACGGTTCATCATTTTCTACCCAGGTATAATGTTAGGTAAAGACTTTTCTTACCACGTGGTGGAGGTTTGGCCATTGTCGAGGTGAAACTGACATTTCTTACCGTGCTACGAACATTATGAACCAATAGAGGAGATTTGAACGCTATATTACGGGTGCATAGATAAATAAAATGAATAATTTGAGTTACAAACTCTTTTACTCACAAGACATGTTCGTATTTGTGTTGTAATATGTCATTACTCGTTAAATTTTTTTGATATTCTTCAACGCTTATTTAGCCGTAAATTCAGCTGCAATTAGTACATTCAACCCTAGATTTGAGTTATCAACTAGTGCATGCAAACCCTAGATTTGAGTCAAATGCGGCCAAGTTGTCCATTTATGACCAAGACTGAGACATTTATGAGTGGATGAATTCACTGATTAAAAATTAGCAAAATATAAATAAATATCACCCCATTTTTGAGCTTCTCAGACTCTCAGGTCAGCACATTTATGAGGGATAAAATGAACCAAAAAATCAACAAAAAAGAAAAAAGGGACATCAGCTTTTGGATGAAGAACTTGTAGAAAAAAGGAAAAAGAGGGTCTCCTCCAATAATACAGTTGATTTTATTTTAATTTGTACATAAAGATAGGAGCATCAGAAAAGTTAAAGTTGCGGATTCGAGTCGTGGAAACAACTTCTTTATAAGTAAGAATAAGGCCTACTATGATATGATCCCTCCCGACCTTCGTAAAGTAGTGAACCTTGTTGACTTAGGGTCGGAAAGGAGAGCAGCAGTCACGAGTGGGAAGTCTTGCACAGATCTGAGAGAATATTTATTCTCTTACTTTCTCAGCCAACAACATATAAAACAACGAAACTGATGACTGCCAACAGCATATTTCAGTATTTCTGCACTCACAACAATAATACATTTCCAATTGATTGCCTTCACAGAATAAGTAACAGCTGCAGGCAATAATAACAAAACTAAATAAATAAAATTTTATTTTTATTTATTTCCCACTGAATAAAAACAACATATATGTATGTCACTACTCATTAATATTTCTGAATTTCTACATTTTTTACAACCCTACTTGGAGGACCACCGGCAAAAGAGTCCTTGCTTTGATTGAGGATTTGCTATGGTGGGCTTCTAGTTTGAGGTAATTGTGGAACAGCTCAGGAGGGATAGACAAGGAAGGAGAAGAAGAGTTGGTCGGTAACGATGAGGAACGGAGGCCAAACTCTATATCAGTGAATTCCGACACAAAGCTTGAACCAAAACACAAAACAAAGACAACAGACCCGGCGTGACGTCTTACAAGGTCAAGAAAAGGTCTTACAAGGTCAAGAAGAAGGGAAGGGATCGATAAGTAGTAGAAGATGAAAGAATACGGTAGGAACGAATATAGAAATACGAAGAAAAAGCTCAGGTAGGATAGCACCAAATTCCCATCAACCACCACCTCCCTTCAACACCACCACAAAACTCGTCCCAAATTCAAAGCTTCCGTTTTGGTCTTCGCTTTTGTGAAAGTCTGCGAAAACACATATGCAACGGATCTCATCAGAATTTTAAAGTTAATGCGTGACGTGTTGTATATTAGCACAAGGTATACATACATGAAAATGGTTTAGATTTTGCATACCTCGGAGTGGAAATTTGTGTCTAGATTTCATGTTTGAAGAGAGCTTTTGAGAATTCCCCATCGACAGAATGAAAGAAGAGAGAAACAACGGAAATTTTTATGTGGAAAAAAGTGAAGGGGCAGTGGCGAGGTTTATAATGGGAGGAGGGAAGACTAGCAGTGGGCTGCCCTGATGGACCTGACAGCGACAGGTGCAAGGCCCAGAAAGAATGTAAACGGACTGGTGACTGACGTCAGCACAGAGTTTGCTCTCGCGGTGGCGAGATTTTTCAATGTGACTGAAATACGAAATGATACATCACGTATTACTATACAAATTGTAGGATATGTGTGTTAAAAAATTAATAACTTAAAAAATACAATTTTCCATCATTTATATAAAAACATATAATGTATTATCTGTGTTCCGATTATAATGAATAATTTCTCCTTGCAGTGGCTGTACGGCTGCCCGTGCCGCCCCCCGTTGAAAAGGTAATGATAAAAGGGCAAGTAAATAACGTTCGGTCAATGTGCCCCCCCTACTTATTCCGGTAGGTCATTCAAATGTTATAAAATTAAGTGAAAAGACATGAAGAAATATATATATTTTTTGTAACAAAAAATTTAGGAGGAGCGGAAGTTTATCTATCTCAAGGTCATAATATATCAAAAACCTCTTTGAAAATTTATAAAAGTTTAGGAGGGGTGTAGCCTTTTTTTTAAGTTTTTACAAATTGCCAGAAATTACCAACAACGAGAGATCGAACAACCATAGTTGACAATATAATATTTCTTTCACTTATATTATAACATTTAAAATACCGTTTGCCGTTTAAATATCATTCACTTAAAAAATCTCTTACTGACCTCCCACTGTTCCAATGTTTGCATGGGGTCGTGTCCCGTACCCAGAGGGACCAAGAGCTCTCCGCGTGGCAGGAGTTGGTCCGTTTGGTCCACAGGTGGAGGGAGTGGACCGAGTGGTCGTGTGGTTCTCCGGAATTTTACACCACGTACGGCAGACTCCATTGTAACTTAGTCAAAAAAAACAATAGTTCCCATTGCCAGTAGTTCTCGTTACTTCGCGATCTATAAATTTCTACGTAAATTCTTACTAATCACAGCTGGTAATTAGGTGCCAAGTGTAAGTCATTTCGGCTCGAGATTATAGGTATATCCTGATGCTAGTGGTGAGAATAACCAATCTCCCACAAAACTTTTTTTTACCAAATAAAAAATAAAAAATAAAATAATAGCTCCCCTTGTTTTATTTAAAGAAGAACAGCCTGAAAATTGAGTATTAATTAGCAAAAGCCAGCTTGGTTGGCTATGAAATCACCAAAACTAATTTTAATTTACAATTTACAATGATCCTTGTGCAGTTTGTTGTGCAGTTTACAATGTCTAAACTGTGCACTCGTTTGGAAGTGCATTTCAAATGATTGAAAGCGATTTTAATGAAATTAATTTTGGATTCCGAAAACACTTTAAATGTTTTTTTAATGGAGCATCAAATATGTGTTTTTTGCATAAAACATTTCAAAAGCTTTTTCATGATCAATTAAAATTTTTACTAAAAGATTAATATAAATAACATTTTCACAAAAAACACTTTCAATTATTTTGAACACTTCCAAATAAGCCATGTACATCAAATCATCAAATTATATATATACTAACCAGCTATAGGTCTACTAAAACTTCTCTAGTTAATAGTAAAAGATGTTATGCCTCCCACCAATCTTATTTCCTCACTTTCTTCTTAATAGAAAATTTAATGACCAAGATTGAAAATTTTATACAAAATCTAGTAAAAAGATTTTCAAAATCCTGTTTATAAATTGGGTCTTTGAATTTAGGCCTAGTCAACCAATACAAAATTTGATTAGAACCCATTCATCTACATTAGCGTATCTAAGACATACGGAAGTATCAAAGCTTAACAAATTTTGTCTTCTCCCTTTATATATATAGATTATGAAATAATTGCAGTTTTTAGGGCAATGACATTACCTCATCTCCAAGAGACTAATATATTTCGATGCTCTGGACCTGATATATGTGCTCATTCTTTTGAGGTGATCATATAGTCAATGGGTTGATATTGAAGAAATTCTTTTTAGGGTTTTCACTAATATACATTATTAAAAAGTCGCACATGGAAAAGTTATGGGACCTTGTATGTTCTTGTAAATAATTAATCTACTTTCTTTATTGACAATTGAGTTTGTTGTGAAATTTCAAAACTTTTTATGATATCCGAGCAAGTTGTTCACGGTTGATACTTATTGGCTAAATGTGCTCTATGCCACCCAATTGTGTGTTGTCTATTTGTTTAGTTTGAGTATTATCGCATGCAAGAGGGTGATTGAGGACATGGAATGTTGTTTCACATCCATTAGTCTTAGTGGTGAACTAATAGGCTTAACTTAAGTGGCATCACTGTTTTGAAAATTCCCGCCTAAGCGCTAGGCGGTTGGCTACGACTTCAGTTAATCCCTAAGTGTTTGAAAATTAAGAAAGGGCGTCTAAGTAGCCCAAACCGCCTAGACCACCTTGGCACCCACCTAACCCGCCCATACTCGCCTAGCACCTACCTAGGTTGTGACTCTCACTTCAACAAAAAATATATAACTTTTATTTTGCATTTGATTTTTCCCAATAAATTGAAAGATAATTGAAAGAGACTTGTTGAATACTTAGATGGACACACATTATATGCTTGTTTCCATGTATTCATTATGTTCTAATACTTTATAATTTATAGGCTTTTTAGCCAAAATGGTCATTGAGATTTGCATAACACATCACTTTGGTTCCTGAGATTGAAAATCAATAGAAATGGTCACTGAGATTGTCCACCATCTATTATTTTGGTCCTTCCATCAAAAACCCTGTTAAGTGTACCGGAGCTCTTGGACGGAAGTTTGAGCAATTTTCAAAGCTTCATAACTCAATCGTTTCTTAACCAAATTCGACCCATAATATATCAAAATGAAGATATGAAAGTGTAGAACAAGATTATACATATTTGGAAGCCCAATGGTTGCCAGAGATGGCCGGAAAATATCCTGAAAGGTGACTCGTCCGCTGGAAAACTGGAAAACTCGTCGAAAACTGGGTAAACTTTAAACGTTCATAACTTCTTTAATACTCAACGAAATCGAGTGATTCAAAAACAAAAATCATACTTCTCAACGAGACGAAGAGAATGGTACCTTTCTCAATGGGTAATTCACCATGTTTTGGTCAGAAAACGGCTCGAAATTGGCTAACTCGAGACCAAGACAGCCACTTTCAAGCCATTTTCCAGCCAAACCATGACAATCGAGAAATGTACCATTCTCTTTTTCTCGTCGAGAAGTATGATTTACATTTTTGAATCACTCGATTTCGTTGAGCATTGAAGAAGTTATGAACGTTTAAAGTTTACTCAGTTTCCGACGAGTTTTCCAGTTTTCGGGCAGACCAATCAACTTTCAGGCTATTTTCCGGCCATCTCCGGCAACCATTGGGCTTCCAAATTGGTATAATCTTATTCTACACTTTCTTATCTTGATATATTATGGGTCGAATTTGGTTAAGAAACGATTGAATTACGAAGCTTTGAAAATTGCCCAAACTTTCGGCCAAGAGCTCCGGGATACTTAACGAAGTTTTTAGTAGAATGACCAAAACAATGGATGGTGGACAATCGCATGGACCATTTTTATTGATTTTCAATCTCAGGGACCAAAGTGATGTGTTATGCAAATCTCAGATACCATTTTGGCTAAAAAACCTAATTTATATGTCATTCTATTATGCAATTTTTTGTATCACAATACAATTATGTATTTTTTAAGTATAAGCAGACACCTATTTATAAGGAAAACTAACTAAAAGTAAAAAAAAAAACTTCCCTTTTAATGAAAAGCCATTTTTAAAGGTATAGTGAATAGTACTAGGGAAATGTATAAATGTGATTTTTCGTTAAAGTGAACAGTACCGGGAGTGTTTTGTTAAAACTCCCTTATTTATATGATATATAATAAATTTATTTAAATCCATCTAGACCCCCGCTAGGCGCTAAGTTCCATCCTGCCGACTGACTAGCGCCTAGCATTTTAGAACCTTGCTGTGTGGCATGAGATGCATTAGTTGATGATAGTATTTAGGTTCAAATTAATCTTCACGCTAGTAAACAGAGTAGAAAATGCTTGGCTAATATTAGGACGTAGGGTATATTCTATATGCAGCATAGTTACATACACATAAGTTTAGCTTCTTGCATAAAAACAGCACAAGAGATGGGGAACAGGGAATCTGGGTAACTGCAAGAAACTTTAAATCGACAGTTTTCTATTGGACTGCAAAAATATGTATTTGTTCTAACATTATATAAATTTGAGATTTGTCGGTAATGGAACCTCAAGGGCGTGCGGGGAAGGGGGAGCATTACAATCACAGTCTCCCAAGATATGGTCAAAGTAAAGGGAAGTGATCACCTTCCCTAGTATTCCCTGGCCTGCGTTCTTCAATATTTTATTAGAAAAATTAACGAAAAATTTAAAAAAATTTAAGTTTTAATGAAAAATAATAAATAAATATGTAGTGAATAGTACTAGGGAAATATAAAAATGTAGTTTTTCGATCCTTAAAAGTGAACAATACCGGAAGTGTTTCGTTAAAACTCCTTATTTTATTTTGTTAATATTAGTTAATTAATATTAATTAATTAACATTTGATCACAAGGTTTGACTCGTCAGAGCCTGCGTTCTTCAATATTTTATTTTGTTAATATTAGTTAATTAATATTCCTCAGAGCCTTGAGAAATCTCTTTCTTTTAACCGGCTTGTTTGCTTCTAGAGCTGGCGGCAACTATGAGTATA